TAGGTATTAAAATAACAGATTTCTTTGGTGTTATTTTATATATATAAACATGTGTACCTACATACAGGCCTAGTTTCTACCACAAAAATAGCACTCATCTTGCATACTATAGTTACCACATGTACCTGTGGATATACAGAGTTCAATAAGTACTTTTCAGTATTGTGGTTATGACAAGTACCGCCATGAAGGAAATAGTAAGAATCATTTTTAGTAAATTGCCATAATTATTACATATTTCTCATTCTCAAGCATGGAAGCTGATGTATACATTGAAAAATAACTATTTTAAAAAGCGATGTCCATACATGTAGTCTGTATCTTAATCATAGATTTTGTTCTTAATCCGTAAAAGTCTCCTTTTTTTCTCTTTTATCACAATTATTTTCACCCATCCAATATCTCTTGTTCTGAAGACAATCCTTTCATGGAAGCAGGGAAATTACTATATATCAGAAATATTGAATATATATAATCGTGTCTCTATAATCCATCTAAGAATCATAAGTACTCAAGATATTGTCTATTTAATAAGAAGACTAAGGCACAGAATTTTCCAATTTTATTACTATTCATTTTCTTTTACAAAACTATTTATTGATACTAGTGATATATCCATATAAATAGTGCAGCTACTATATGAATATATTCTGCTGCGCTTAAGACATCATCACATTATTACCCCGGCTGTAGCTGAGCCGCCGTAATAAGGCGCTAAAGCATTCAAGGAATTTCTTCCTACAGGGTACGTATTTACTCCACCTGGGTGGAGAGTGGCAAATGTAGATTAATGTCTTACGACATATCCACTAGACCACAACACCTTTACATATTAAAAATATCTGTTTCCCATAATGATAATCACTACACACATGTACATGCACATTTGTTTCAGGTGTACACAATTGTTTAACTTCATATAAAGAGGAAGACCCTTTTACACGAGGCACTTGTTCGAAAGGCATTGTTTTGAACAGAAGACTGATATAATAATGATTTGGTACTGTACTGCACCTGTTGAAAGGGAATTTTGACTGTTTCAAAAATTTGAGAAGCACAGGATACATACAAAGGATTGTATGAAAGAGGATGGATACCTTTAAAAATTGCACCTTTTATCACTGTGCTTACGTGAAGGAGGGTTGCCATTGCACATGAAATCATTCACAATGGCACGTTTTCTAATAATTTGCGTTTCACAAAAAACAACATTAATCCAAACAATTTTTTGATGCAACTAAATTTCTCTTGCAGCACCCCTAGAGGTGTCTTGTGGAGCCCCAGTGTGCCGCAGCACCCTGGATAAAAAAATGCTGGGTTTAATAGACATGTGTGCTTGCCTTTTGTAAAATACTTAAAATTTGGGAAAACTTTACTTTTATGTTTATCACACTCACACAAAATAATATTTGTCATGTTGTGCAGACTTGGTATATACATGTTTAAGTATACTCTTATGCATTGATTTAAATCTGTTCTGATCGTTAAAAGTAGGGCTTTTTCCTTCGGTTTCGTTTACCCACCTCGTGAGGCTCTTCATGTATCTTTACACGCGGTGAATTATGAAGTAAGTGGAGGATTTTGCAGCAGATGGCCAGGATGCAAAGGCATATTGCCATTACGGTGTAGATAGGAATCTGCTCAAGTATTCCTATGGTGGGTTTAGCCTGTAAATTAGATTGGTAAAAAACAAAATTAATTCCTGCATGTAATCAGTAAATGGTAGCATAAGACAGGAGATTTTGAGGTATATGGAAGTTGAGTACAAGATACAGCACTCAAAAAATTAATTCTCCCCTCGCCGACGAAGTCAGAGGGGATATAGAAATGCTGCCGTCCGTCAGCTTCCTTTCGTGCGTCCATGCGTTCGTAACAAATTTGGTTTCCGATCGATAACTTCAGTAAGGATTGACGGATATTAATTAAATTTGATATGAAGGTTCATGATATCAAAATACAGGCTAAGTTTGATTGTGGAGTACGTAGGTCAAAGGTCATAGCTCATTAAATATGCGAAACTGGTTTCGGATCCATAACTTTAGTAATGTTTAGTGGTTAACTTCCTTGTCTAGTAATAAAATAGTATAGTCCAATGGAGGTAACTTGTTCTGATGTATATAGGCCATTTGTACCCTGCAAGAGGATGCTACGCTTTGCGTTGACTTGTTGAAATAATGATGAAAAGGGAGAACTATCTTTTCATCATTTCAATTTTCTACACTTGGAGTATTCTAGTTTGTATCATATTACATGAAAATCAACATTTTGGGGGGTAAAACATGGAAAGTACAGATTCCTATTATACTTGCTCTTCAATGAATGCATTCTGTCTTTAAAAAAAACAAACTTGCAAGCAGATTTGTACTGGAATGTGCAGTAAGTGCATATTGGGCACTGTGTTTGTATTTGAACTCACCGGAATTGACGGTTCGGTAGGATCAGTTGTACAATCTTGATTGCTGTCTCCTTTGCCCTTGTTTGTCACAGATGCCGTGGTTGGTTGTGGACGTTGTGGACAGGCCATGTTAACGTGAAACGTTGTGTTAACCGAAGACTCTTTCATTAATTTACCACTGTGACTTTCGATGATGAAAGCATACAATGGGAAAGTTTCGTCAAGAAATTCCAACGCATTGATATCCAACCGATACTCCACAGTCCTGCCGACGTAAGACATTGTTACTCTGTAGCGATCATGTTGTATATCTCGATTAGTTCCATCATGAAAGTTGAGTTCAGTCCCATTGCTCTTAAAGACCGGTGTTCCATCTTTTTTTTTGTTAGCGAGAGCTACTATGTAGCTATGTAAGGGTGTAGTACCTGTTACATGATAAGATAATGTCAATGTACCATTGTCTCCTTCTTCGTAACACTGCTTATCCGTTGTAGGTTGTTGGATGAACCGTACTGTTTCTGCAGTTGCTGCATATATACATGTACATACGATTAAAATGATTAACTTCATTTTGGCCTGTACTGTACTGATATCTACGGGTCAACAGTTTTGATTGTTGTCTCGTTGAATAATTCCTGCGGAGCTGGTAAAAATGTTGCACTCTAACAGACGAGAAGGTCTCTAAACAATTTCTGCCGGTTCAACAATCCTTTATGCCTTGCTCTGTCGACAATAACAAAATTCAACAGTTTTAATTGTTGTCTCGTTGAATAACTCCTGTGTTGCTGGTAAAAATGTTGCACTCTAACAGACGAGACGGTCTAGAAACAATTTCTGCCTGTTCAACAATCCTTTATGCCTTGCTCTGTCGACGATAGAAATTTACGTACAAATGCCAATCTGTTTTCTCGAAGATTCGAGAAAACAGTTTGGTATTTGTTCGAAAGAGGGCAGCAAACAACATTCAAGTGTTTTTTGTATAATTTTTTTGCCTTTGTTATTTTTTTCTCATAATAAAGAGTTTCAATTCTTTTGAATCAACAATTCCTGTTCAAATGATTTGAAAAGAATTCCCTTTTATAAGGCCACATGCGTGACTGACTTCACCCTCAGAAGGCTTACACAATTGTTGATAAGAACTTGCTTTACAAACTTACAATAATTGAACAGTAATTCCATCATTTCAGAAATCACATAATGGAACCTCAATAATTCAATTCAATTCAGTATTTTTTGTTGTTGTATTAGTATAAGGGCAATTTGCCAATTTGTAAAATATTTACAGAGTTTGACATTTATTAGAAATACAGTAGTCGGGATAATGGGGGGGGGGGAGAGGGAGAGAGAGAGAGAGGGGGGGGGGAGGAAACAGACATACAGAAAGAGATAGGGAGGGAGGGGAGAGAGGAAGAGAAAGACAGAGACAGAGCAAGAGATAATAATAATAATGATAATAATAATAATAATAATAATGATAATAGTAATATTAATAATAAATAATGATAGTGGATATTTTTGTAGTGCACATTTGCACCACACAAGTTGCTCAAGGCACTCGATTATATAAAGTACCGAAGCTGTGACGTCATAATTTTTTTTTATAGAATTTCTCAATTTGGTGGTTAGGAGCATATAACACTGAGTTCCTATAGGACATATATTTATTCAGATGGTCATATCTCAGAAAATACTTAACATATTCAATTGGCATTCAACATTTGGACATTTTTTATGCTCTTTCGGAAAATGAAGAAAAAATTGAGAAATTCTGTAATTAGATTTTTGATGACGTCACACTTCACCACTCTATTCCATGGGCTTTAACATCAAGCCTACAGATTTCAGTGCTCACAACATTTCAGGAATTCTTTCCTATTAAATGGTACCCATTTAAAGACCCTATCTGATGGAAATACAACTTTATATCAATGGATAGCTGATTGAACCTTGAATACAAATATAAATAAAGGAATACAAATATTTTCCCCTTTCAGTATTACACAAAAGCAAACTAAAACCTCATTTTCTGCATCCCTCCAAATTACAGATCAATAGGGGTCAAATTTGCCACAATTACAGTGACAGTTACAAATGGAATCAAAGCTTATGAAAATTTCTGTGCAAGGCGATAGAGAAACTTGGACGGTACGATGAACATGACTTATGTCACAGAGTTGCCCATTGGCATTGAATTGATTGCATCTTTAAAGATTCATGAATTTCTTAATGTTGATTGTATTTTCCTTATACCTTTTATTATCTGTTTCTTTCAGGTTTTTCTTTTTTTGTAAGTATAAAAACAAATTGATAATCAGGGTGGATTTCCACTTTAAATCATATTACTTTCATGATTTTGGTTACACGCCTGACTAATGACCAAGATGAGGTGTCCCTCTCAATCATTGTTCAGTTTTCTGACAAAAGATGATACTAAATTCTGTCATTATTCTGTTTCAAGTTTACCAGTAGTTTATTTCTACATTTGGTTCATAAAAAAGCAAAAATACATACTGTACATGTCCAGACACATAAATATAAACATATTGTTGTACAATGCTTATTGATGACATAAATTTCCCTTTTTCCCTCCTCTTCTCCTCTGCAGTGATTTCCAGTCAGAGGTTCACCGTTCATCCCATCGTATGGACCCTGTTCATATCGGCCAATCAGCAGGCTTCGTCGACTCGGACTACACCAGCTTCACGGGGACGTCGGGGGACTACAACTATCTCGACCCAAATTACAGTCCCGCCGTTCTTTGATGGATGATTATTCTTATTTCCATTCAAATATTCCTGTTCGTCAACTCGAGAAGGCAGTCTTAAGATGTGCATGTATGTCAATGAGTTTCAAAACATTGTTGTCCCTGCAATGGAGACATCAGAGCCTGTATTCAATTCCATACTTAAGTTTAATATATGAGTATTTTACTTAGTCTTCAGCTTAGATAAATACTTAGCCAATTTGGGTATTCAGTTCAAACTTTTGGCTAAGTATTTTACCCTAAATTTAAGACAGCTCCCTACCAGACTTAAGTCAATTATTTGGAGGCATTGATTGGCAGGCATATGGTTTTCTAACGCAGTATCATAACCTGCGCACAATTATATTAGCGCGCATTTATTGCGACCATTAATTGCGCATTACTTTTGATTGATAAAAATTAAAAATCTGATTTGAATACAAGACAATTAAGTAAAGTTCTTAGCTTAGCAATTTAGTTACGTAGTAAATTTCTTACTTATTCTAAGTATCGAATTGAATACCGACCCTGGTGACTACAACTATCTCGATCCTTATCACGATTCCGCAAATTCTAGAATTTGTCAGATTCAGACTTTATTATCTTTATGGGGACTTTGAATAACCACATGTACATTTGCAACAACAGCTTCAAGCTGTCTGTTTCTCTGGTATGCATGACAACTCCTGTATTAGTGTAGCTTGCCATATGTGAGCTAAGTAATGCTGCAATATTGTAATCATGTTTCTGATTTGAGCTTTTTTTGTTTACTTCATGTATGACACAAACAGTAAGAAATCAACCCGTGAGGTACATAAAAGTATTGTCTAAATAGACAGATACATGTATGTATGTCTAGAAGGGAGCTGGGCTATTATTGTCAACGCGGACTCGTTGGAAAATCTGAGTTATTTGAGAGAGCTGTATCGCATTCAAGTACATGGGTGAATTTTTGCATCAATCAGATCTTTTAGAATGTGTAAAGTAGTTACCAAAAAGGTAATGTTGAAATGCATTGAGTTGTTTTAAATTTTTTTTGATGGGTCATTTCATGAGGTTGAGGAATTTTTGTGATGTACCAGAAGTGAGAAACTAGCTAGGCCATGATTTTTGTACTTTAGCTTCATGGTGAATCAGCATTAATGACCCAAAGTTTATGTAATTTTATATACAGTAAATGTGATGTCTATGTAATGCTGGTAAAAGAAGTTTACACATATTGAGCAAAGGTTTTGAAGAGAAGCAACTGAAACAAATGATTTTGGGAGGGCACTATAATTTCATTTTTCGTGTGTAGTAGAAGATCTGATACTAATGTTAAATAGACATTGTCATATTGTTTTTGCCCCAAACTCATGGAATGACCCTTATGGCTGTTTAAAGTCCGGTGTGTATCTTGTAATTCAACTCTTGAAACCTTACATTGCCTAGCGGTGCCAAGTTCTCCCAAACCCTTTAGAAGTCAATGGCCAGAATTCACAAAGAGGTTTGATGTAACATATGAACCTCCTGTATGTATTTGGGCCTTTGATATGGCTTACACTTTATGTGAACTTGTATCTCAATGTGTGTAAAAAAAAAAAATTTGTCGTCAAATAATTTGGGCATGTATAAAATGTTACATGGACATTTTTTATTCTAGTCTTAATTCATCTGTATATTATTTGAGACTATCAAGGAGCTGATGTGGTGAAGACCTGAGGGAGGCAGAAAGAGAGAGAGAGAGTGAGAGTGAAGAGAGAGAGAGAGAGAGAGAGAGAGAGAGGATGAGAGAGAGAGAGCAAGAGAGAGAGAGAGAGAAAAGAGTTAGAGAGAAGAGAGCAAGAGAGAAAGAGAGTCTGCTCTCCATCTCCAATCTTCTCTTCCTATCCAATATTCTCTTCCTATATTTCAGTCTGATCTCTTCTCTCTCTTTCTAATCACTTCCTTATATCGGTCTCTCTCTCTCTCTCTCTAATCACTTCCTTATATCGGTCTCTCTCTCTCTAATCACTTCCTTATATCGGTCTCTCTCTCTCTCTCTCTAACCTGTGCCTTATCTCTCTCTAATCACTTCCTTATATCGGTCTCTCTCTCTCTCTCTAATCACTTCCTTATATCGGTCTCTCTCTCTCTCTAATCACTTCCTTATATCGGTTTCTCTCTCTCTCTCTCTCTCTAACCTGTGCCTTATCTCTCTCTAATCACTTCCTTATATCGGTCTCTCTCTCTCTCTAATCACTTCCTTATATCGGTCTCTCTCTCTCTCTCTAATCACTTCCTTATATCGGTCTCTCTCTCTCTCTCTCTCTAACCTGTGCCTTATGTCTGTTCCTTATCTAAGTCTGCTCATTCTCTTTCACTAATCTTCTCTTTATTTCAGTCTGCGCTCTCTAATATGTTCCTTATCTCATCCTGCTCTCTCTATCTTATCTTCTCTTCCCATATTTCAGTCTGCTCTCTTTAAAGGTACTACAAAGTTTTGGGAAATTTTGAAATTGGCTGGATAATGATTCTTTACAATTTTGATATAATTGGATACCCCTGTGGATGTATTATAAGCACTAGAAAATTTAGCCCCTAAAACCCTTCTGCTTTCGATAAAAATTGAATACAAAAATTTACCGGTGCTCCTGGTAAATTGTTATAAATTTCAAATAGCCCATAAGGTCGTTCAATGGTAGCTGCGACCATGAAAATCTCAGAATATTAGTTGTGATATATAATTTCCAAACTGAAATAGCTAATCGGTCAATTTTAGTCATTTTTTTGTTATAGCTTAATTAATATCTTGATCTTGACCTTGAGAGGGAGCTATACAACATAAATAGTTTATTATTTACAATTTCATAACTTTAGACTCGATTTTCAACCGCGACAACAATCACTGAATATTATAGGATCACATATGCTTCCAATATGTTCATTTGAACCAAATTCATGACCCCATACCAAAACTTTGTATTACCTTTAATATGTTCCATATTTCATTCTGCTCTCCATCTCTCCCCAATCTTCTTTTCCTTTATCTCAGTCTGCTCTCTCTAATCTGCCATTTTCCCTTATCTCGTTCTGTTCTCTCTAATCTGTGCCTTATCTCATTCTGTCCCTTATTTCATTCTGTTCTCTCATCTTCTTTTCCTTAATTTATTCTACTCTCTAATGTTCCTAATCTCAGTGTGCTCTCTCTATGCTGCTCTTTTTCCGTTTGCTCTTTCCAATCCTCTCTTCCTTTATTTCAGACTGCTCTCTGTAATCTTCTCTGCCTTATCTCAGTCCTCTCTCTCTCCAATCTTCTCTTCCTTTATCTCAGACTGCTTTCTCTAATCTTCTTCATCATCAGCATCATTATATTCAACTCTGATTAATTATCTGTATTAATATTAACACTGTCAAAAGACAAATACTACAGACATCAGTTTTCTTTGGTCCTTTATCTCAATTCTATAGCCTAAATTTTCTTCAAATCACATCTGGACTTTTTCATTCTCAGAGTGTTACACATTTTACGGGTATACATGATATAAAATCTCACTATCCACACACTTTATACATTACATTCAATGTAAACATCGCAGAGAATTATATTTAGACAAAGACATTATTTTCATCATGATTACACAAAAACACAGCAGCATGTACATATGTCTATTAAACATTCAACAGTCTAAAAAATCAGAGTTCATATACCACTGTAAACCACAAACTTTGGCAGGAATGAAATGTTTACAAATTTCGCCAGTGACTAAGATTTGCAGCAAAGTAATAAAAAACAGCAACTGCAAGGGACAACATCGATCAGTAGTAATTTGTTTTGTCATGGCAAAAGTTATCCTGTCACAGCACTAATGTCCTTTGGCAAGACATTAATCTACATTTGCCACACTTCGCCCAGGTGAGGTAAATAGGTACTTGGCAGAAATGAATACCGGTACCTTAAAATGCTCGAGCGCTGTAATGGCAGCCAGGCTAAAGCCATCTAATGATACTGGAGCACTATAGGAGTGGCAGTGTGCTAGACACTTTTATTATTATTATCATTATCATAGGAATACCGTTGAATCCTGATAGAATGAACAAAAAGCCATATTTCATGTACATTGCACAATAAAACAGACCTGCAAAAGGCAGTTGCTTTGAATGATGACACCAAAGTCATGACACACACAAAGATGTTTTTTTTAGAGGCAATCCAAGCAATATGCCTTGAATGAAGTTTTCCCACTATATTGCAATCATTTCTTGCCTATTTGCACACTAAACACGAGAAGGAAACATTTTTTCTTTAACGAACTGAGGTAGCGAGTAGTTGCCATAGACACTATTTTTTGTTTACTTCCAGTCTCATGGGTAAATTGTCATAGGATTCATAGAAAATGAAATTAGAACAAGACATTGGTTAAAGATAAATATAACCTTGATTGCAAACTACTTAATAGTGGAAAGCAACAAATTCAAAGAAGCCTACTGCTGAAAGTTTGACTAAAATTAGACAGAAAATGAAGGCGGTGGGATAAAATTTCAGATATTATCTGATTTAAAGATAAAGACCGGGGGGGGGGGGGGGGGGGGGGGGGGGGTGTTTCACAAAGATTCTAAGTCGAACTTAACTCTAAGTTGGACTTGATTATTATGGAGAGCCATTTGTAGCCTTGTAATGAAAAATATTAAAAAGCGAAAATTCAAGTATTTTAGACTTTTCATAAATTCCACATCAAGAACATGAAATCTCCCATGGTAATAGAAAATATGAATGATTAGAATCAATATTTTATGCCTTTTAAAATAACCTTTAGAAAATATTTTCAAGGATGCTAACGGCTTTCCATAATTTTTAAGTTCAACTTAGGATCTTTGTGAAACACCCCCCAGTTATGGTCATGCGATTGCATTGTGAAAGAAATGTTGTGAAATCGATCAGAAAAGGTTGATCATCTAGCATGTAAGTATTGGTGTGTACTGCAAGGTTCTGGAATCATCAAAATGATAAGAAATTTGGTCAAATCTTGGCAAAGTTACAAGCACGTTACACAGAAAGATATATATGGGACTATACGCACACGTGAGCGACACGTGCGTTTATCTCTCACAGACCAATAGATAAACTAATTTACCAAATATATCAATTAGTAGGCGGTTTCCCGGCAAAATTTGTATCATCATGTATTAGTCAAAACATATTCTTTCACATGATTGGTAATAAGCGCTTCCATTTCATTTTTTGAAATTAGGGCGTTTCCAATACTGGTCTTTACCTTTAAAATAAATCTCAGAATACGACCCCTGGAATTTCCCTTTAATAAGCATGCAGTATCATTCCTCATTTGTTATATTAGAAAGCTCTTTTATTACAAAGGTGTGATTGGTCCATAGCTCATCACATGATGTTGATTGCAAGGATCATAACATTTCAATCCCGGTCATTTTTTCACTGATATATTGACCGACCAGTCAAATGAGTACATTTTTGTATCATACCATATCCAAGCAACCAAACCGGTTGATTTTTTATAAAATTCATATAAATTAAAGTTACAAAATAAATTGGTCTTTCTCAAATATTTACAAAATCACACAGAAATATATTGCATCAGTGGAGGTTTAAGTAGCAAATTAAGACAAACTTTGGTATAATTGCACACATCAAAAAATGTATAAAAATCTAACATAACGTTCTTCTTTTTACCAATAACATAGTTCATACATTGCAAATAAAATGTTTTCCAAACATTTCATATATTTATACAACAAACCAAACATATTCAACATGAAAGTGCCATGCCTGCATCCTATTCAATAAAACATATCATGCTCTACAATTTCATAATATTGATTATCAGATATTTCTTCATGTGGTACACTCAAAGTAGTGAACTCATTTGATTGACTGATTGATTGATAGTTGTCCCACTTCATGTACATATACAGTAATCATGGATACATTGTATCAAACATGAATCATTACGTCATATCCCATCATATTCCATTTCAATGTCTACATTTTAGCTTGCTTACAATTGTACTCTACATGTTACATATATTGCTCCCAACGGAATAGTTTTGGGAATGCATCTTTATGGATCAACATATTTATTTGTTTTTATTTTTATTTTTCAACGCCCAGGAGGGTGTCTTCCGTCCCTTGGCCTTGTTGGTCTCTGAGCTCCACCCACACCAGCCGCCCCTGCTTCTTCACCCCTAGACCTACCAGTTCCATTACCCCTTGCTAAGCCATCAGCTCCTCTGCCTGCTGCACCACCCCTACCTGTTGCCCTTGCAGACCCACTTTCTGCACCTCTAGCCGGACCATTTGTACCCCTTGACGAACCTCCTGCACCCCTTGATGAACCTGCTGCACCCCTCGATGAACCCCTTGCACCCCTTGCTGACCCAGTCCCTCCTCCTCCTCTCCGGGATGAGGATGGGGCAGATGATACGGAGGAGGCCGAGGAGGTGGAGGATGCAGGAGACGAAGCTCGGAGAGGATGGGAGAGTGTCCTCCTCACCTGAGCAGACTTGGGCTGAAAAGTAAAAGATGAAAAACAAAATCATCAGAACCGGGGAAATCCCGCAAAAGAAAGTCCATCAGGGCCCTGCGATATCAAGAGTTGTAATTGCTTCACATCAGAAGTCTTCCAATCAACTGCAGGCTGCTTCTAATGTTAATCTTGAAAGAGCTATGCAGCCTATCATTAAGATCTGTATGTCAATTACCAGTTTTGTATACAGGCACACTTTACATCGGGTTTACACCCTTCTCTTTGTGAGATGTGTAGCGTATTAACATGCATAGGGTGTGACTCTCCTACACACAGAACCTCAAGTTCTGTCTGATGAGCGGAGTGTCTTCCCCTGAACTCAAACCTACTTCTAGAACGAGGTGAGGGGCACAGCTACGAGGCGACAATCATTTTTGCATTTTATCTGCTCCGCGCAGGACTCTGTGCATGATGATTGCCTAAAGGTTGTATATCTCTTATGAATAGCGTTGCAATTGATATCACACTCAATTGTGATCAATAAAGGAATTGCCCACGTCATACAAACAAGCAGAGTTCAAAACAACGAAATATCAACAGATGAGACAGAACAATGGAGCGCAGGTGTCGTAATGTGCCAGCTATGAATCAAGAAGAAGTTTTCAAGAACTCAAAAAGATACATGTACAAGAAATCTCTACTATAGACATGGCTTTCTTCTAACATGTTTTCGTATAACAGGCCACCGAATAGTCACCCATTATCACATTGTCTTATTTTCACTACTGGGTATCTCTGATATAGTCAATCTACAGACTTCTCTACTCAAGTACCACAACTTAAAACATCGAGCCCCTCCTACCCCATCCATCCTCTTCTTACTATAGCCTATAACAGCGCTATAGTTCTTTTTAAAACTATAAGATCAAGAAAGATTAAACCAGTCCATCTATCACTACCACAGTCCTTTTTAGGACTATATATACACAAGAAAGATTACCAACAGTCCTTTTCAGGACTCCCCAATCCTCGCCTCTCACATGGTGTACGGTAATCATAAGCCTAATTTTTATCAAAACCTTAGAAGTGTCATAACTAAACTAAAGTCACAGTAATCATTTCCATAGCATATTATTGAATATGTAATATGAGCTAGATACAAAATTGATTATATCATCAAAACAGAAAGCAAGAGAATTAAATGTAAAATGGGGCAAACAAATGGAATGCTTTACCCTTTGCGAGCTGGAGAGAACAGGTTTCTTAAGTGTCTTGGACATGCCTGTATCCACATAAACTGCATCTGCAGAGGGAAAACAAACAAAAATAATTTCAAATCCACAGCAGCTTTCTCTGGTTCAGCCCGATTTTGTATAAATCCTGAAATATCTATAAAGCATTTATTATACTGCAAGTCATTTTGTGTTCATTTGTCTATATCTGTATATTTTGCAGGATTGCAGAACAGATTTGGTTATAAAAGATATTTGTATTTTTGTAGTGATTGAAGAGTAAACACGACAATGTTATCTTCCTTTATCCACACTGGCATTCTTGAAATGCAGAGGAAAAGCGGGTATTTCCCCAATCCTATGGAACAGCAAAGGAGAGTTACATGTTCATGTGTTTGTTTAAATCATTTAAACTAAGACAAATAAGCCATTTGAAACAAACATACACTGTAGTAGTTTGTGCCGCCCACCACAGAAAAGTAGAAAGAAACAAAACTCTGATAGCAGACCTACAGGAAATTATTAAACTGTACTGTGATAGTAAAGGCAGTAATGATGGGGCAACGGGGCGTTGTGGCATGTGCCTGTAATCCAGCTAACAATGGAAGTGACAAACTGATTCAGCCTAGGACGCAGGTTCGAAGCTGAGTCACGTCTTTCGGATGGTGACGTTAAAGGTTGGTCCAAAGACGTAAATAATCATATCTGATTGATACACGTCTATTAAAAACCCAATTACACACACACACACACGCAGATGGGGCAAATCAACAAATCTAACAAACAACGACCAAAGCGAGTACCTGATTAATATAACTATAATGTGGAACCCCAAAACCTCATACAACTAAAGTAAACAGGTATTCTTAGCGTCTTTCATTACACTGTACAGCAGGAAAGGACCGGTCTACAGCCCATCATGTAAGATTATGATGATGATGATGATCCACAGCACTTGTATGGCGCCATTTATCTGTTTCAAACATTCAAAGGCGCCGGCTTCTCCAATAGTCATGTACTACACATTTGCTTGAAAAGATGGGTATCGAGGCCTGACTTAAAGCTTTCTAGCTTGTCAGTTACACAAAGAGTAGGGAGTTTCAGAGGCGTGTCTACCAGATTACAAACTAATTTCATGAATTTGATGTATATGCCTGTCTTTATAAGCAAATGGACCTGGTAGAATTGCAACTTTCTCATTATCATGTCTACATCACTACATGGTTAAATGATTTTCATGTTTTCAAACATACATGTATATGTTTACTCTGTCTGTATTTTACTGTACTTGAATAAAGTAATGATATCAACAATAAGGAACTCAAACGAAACAGAACAAAACGATCTGGACATATTACAGTCAAACCTGTCTATAGCGACCGCCCAAGGGATACATTAAAAGTGGTCTTTGTAGACAGGTTCCTTTAGTACATGTTTCAATGAGAAACCATTTTCAAGGGAAACAATAAAATGTGGTCTTTGGAGACGGTTGGTCAGGAAAGCAGGTTTGACTATACAAAGGATATGACGTGCATATCATACAGATTCTCACCTTTTCTTATCTGTTTCTGAAGATCTTCAGGCAATTGTTTAAAGACTTCTGTATTGACGATGTAACTTGCGTTGCTCACCACGTAGTTATAGATCTTATCATAGAATCCACCAAAAGCTGTATACGCATCCTACCAAAAAGAAAAACATGTCAGTTTTCATACGATTGCATATGAACCTCAATGGTTCAATCAAAGTGACTAGGTAACATTGTTGAATGTTGATGAAGAAACTGCGTAATTTTTTAATGAAATGTTACCCTATATATTCCTTCTACTGTACTAACCCTCTAACATGCAAAAAATCCTGAAAAATTCTCAAACCACAAAGATATTTATGATTTTCTTTGAAGGCGTCACTGTGCGACACCCTCTAACAGTAAATTCTCCAAACCATTTTTGAATTCTCCCATGAACTAAGACATAAGACAGGCTTTACTTACTGGGTTCCATTCCTCCTCTGGCGTCTTCCCGTCTTCCTTCTCTTTGTCTGTTCTCTCCCTCTTGTAGAGTCGCCAGACGGCCCTGAAGTTCAGATCGGCGTTCCCCAGCGACAGTCCGGCAACCACCTTCCTGAACAATGGCTCCATCACGTCCTTCTTCCAGCCCATGCCCTACATGGAGGAAAGGTCAAGAAGAGTGTTAATAGTGGAGTTCACATGGGTCACAAGAGGTCATATTGTAATTGACCTTTCAGTTTTTGCTTTAACACCAATAATATACCAGCTTTTAAACTCCAGATTCATTACAAACTTCCTCCACATCCCATGCCATACACAAAGGAAAGGTTAAGTTGAGCATTAGTGGATTTCAGATGTCACAGGAGGTCATATTGTAATTGACCTTTCTGCTTTGAACGCCAAAATAAACCAGCTTTTCTTAACACCAGATTCATAAAAAACTTCTTCCATCCCATATCCCATTCCCCTCAAGATACATGTAAGTATTGAAGGAGGTCACAGGGGTCATATGGCGTCAAAGTGCACTGACATACACACTACTACCAAGATGCAAAGTTTGGTTTATTAAACACTTTCACTCCCTCATCTTGTATGTTTGGCACACACATACTTGGTACTTTAGCAGTGAAAAAAACAATATAAGGGGCTTCATTGTACCCAAGAGCCTCTGTAGCCCCCTCCCCTTCTTTCCTATGACCAAGAAGTGTTTCATAATTCAGGGGGGTGGACATGAATAAATACTATTAAAATTGACATAATGCAAAGAAGGATATAATTACCTTCAGATATTTATCCTCAAACATTGATCCATCAACGATGTCGTGAAAGTAGCTGGCTGCAAACTGCAGGACTTGTTTCCATGTTTTGGAGGTGATCTCCTTGGCGGGTTCGGCCCAGGAGCTGTGGCCTAGAGGAAGGCCAAGTTTGATTTTATCCAGTTGGAACAAGACCTCAATAGCATTTTTACCGTTCTGAAAAAAGAGAACAATACAGCTACAGTCAAACCTGCTTTAGCAACCACCTGTATAGAAAGACCACCTGTCTATAAAGATCACTTTTCTTTATTTTCCTGTTGAATATGGTTTCTCATTGAAACCTGTACTACAGGAACCTGTACATAAAGGCCACCTGCCTATAAAGACCACTTTCATTTTTCTCTTGAGCGGTGTTTATATACAGGTTTGACTGTACCCAATACCATTATACATTTAAATGTAGGTACAATGCTGTGTCGCTTATGGGCACTAATTCAATGTAAAATGTTTTTCTTATGCAAGGGTCACTCTGTGGCCTGGACCCACCCTCCTCAGGTCATCACCTTTCTTCACCTGAGCCAATTATTTGTAACCTCAGGGTTTCACCATCACTTCATGTGCTTTACAAAAAACAAAGGCAAAGCATCACTCTTATCAGCAAATGTGTTAGTCCAGGCTTCACCCTTTGAATTATTTGCATAGGTGATGCTTCACTTTTGTCAGTTTTACATAGGTGAGGCTTCACTTGTGTCAGTTTTCCATAGGTGAGGCTTCACTTTTGTAAGTTTTCGGCCGGTCTGAAGCTTCACCACTGTTTCACCATACTGGCCATTTGCATAGTTCAAGCTTCACCACTGTTTCACCTAAGCCTGAGTCATTACGGTTTTTGTGCTAAACGGTTAACCGTTAAAAGTATACGGACGGTTTCGTTTAACCGTTTAATAATAATCTGAAAAAGTGAAAATACAGTATTTTTAATAGTGCTGTAGCTCGGAACCCTGCTGGTCTTCAGACTGTCGGGCTGAGCATTCCCAGCCCCGGACTATGGCACAAATTGGGTCATCCTGATAAACAGAGACCAGTAATAAACAACATAAAACATGTCTTATTATTCCTCATCTGAATTTGATATCATGATTAACCTTGCATAGTTACTCTGTGAAGATAGCTGATCTGTGACGTGTTTATATATGCCTTTGCAATGCAATGTTTGCACATGGTCAGGGAGAGAGCTCCCTGCATGTATCATTGCCATATGAAATTATGTGGAAGTGTGTATCACACACACCCAAGACACACCCTGCAATGAGCTGATCCAAGTTAGTGACCAATCAGGAAGGTTCTCTAGCTATGTGGGTGGAGTTTGATACCAGCATAAATTACAGGTTGGTGACCGCGCGTGCTTTCACCGTACCCGTACCCAGTTCAGTGGGAGGTCAAGAAGCCACGCCCACATGTGTGCATGTGACAAGCATGAGCTCTCCATCTGTGTGTATGTACAGTGTATTTGGGCGCCGGAGGTTTGTGTGTACATGTGTGTGTGACTGAGAGAGCATGCATATGGGCTAGCATGTCCCTGCATGTCCCTAGCATGGACGAGGCAGGGACATGAGTGAAGATCGAAGTAAGAAAGGGTGGCTGTGTTAATCGGCTGAATTGAAGAATGATCAAAAACTTAAATTACTCACAAATAATATCCAAGACTTTGTTGATTGATATTTCCAAAACTTCAATTATTATTGTTATCAATATTTTTGTATTTTATTTATATATGAACATTATTTTAGGGGGCGAGTCGGCAAGGGATGGATATTAATATTGAAAGAGAGAGAGAGAGACTCGGGGGAGAAGGGATGTGAGAGGAACTGACCATCGAATGTGTAAACATTTAGAAAGTTGTGAGCTGAGAGTGCAGTAATAAGAAAAGGTACATGAGCGATGAACACATTGCAGAGAGAAGGAAATAAAGAGGGTGAGAAAAGAGAGAAGGGGGCTGGTTGTTTTATTGTTTACAAATTCATTCATGGGGATAACTGCTGCCAGAAAGCTAGCGCGCAGCGGCCAGGGTGTAATATTACACTGCGGTTTCTTTGATTATCTTTATCATCGGCTATTAGCACATTCCAAAATGTATGTAAATAACGGTTAACCGGAGCGAGAAATGCTAAACGGTTTTGATGAATCATGCGAGTGCATGAGTGACCGGAATAAAAATTAAATAGTTGTTTTGAAACGCACGATTTCGACATGATTTCGACATATTTTCGACGCGACCGGTAGTGGCTTCGATGTCACATCACCTGAACAAACAAGGCGACCGATTGGATTCGATGTCACATCACCAGAAAAAACAAATTACTCGTCAAAGCTTCACACATTTCATCAATTTGTATAGTAAAGCTTCACCCAATGAAGAAAAACGAACGTTAGGACTTCACTACAACAACAAATAGGTCAGGGTCAGGCTTAGGCGTCGAGTCGACGTCGATATTTGGCGACCTCTGAGGAGGGTGGGTCCAGGCCACAGAGTGACCCTTGCATTAGTGCATCTAGTTGTCTGAAGCCCTAGTCCAAATCAAGTATCTTTTAAAATCATTTTAAGCTATCAGAGGATCCTAAAAGATGGAAGCCTGGCAAACAAAGCCATATATTCTCTTTAACTTTAGAGTTCTTTTTTTTGAGAATTTCCCCTGATTCAATCACCCCTTGGCTGCTAGGCTTTGGGTATTAAACTAGGGTGTTTTTAAGGCATGGTTGTATACTAAAGTAATACCGTAAGTCTCTGTGTATAAGACGCACCTTTTTCCATGCCGAAAAAAAATTGAAAGTCTGCGGTGCGTCTTACACACAGGTACAAAAACAAAACAAACAAAATTTCTTCTGTGCCTGGCAATGTTGCCCAACTCAGTCATACATGGTGCGTCGACTCACCACTCGGAAACTAGAAAAACACTACCTGTATGGCCGGATTTCTGTTTGGACTTAGAGAAAAATTTGTCCGTCAGTTTTAAAAATGACATTGTTACTATTATTTGTGACAGGATCACAAGCACAAATCGGTGCCTTCAACTGCACCTCGCAGTAAAATAAAGGCCCTTTTAAAGAAGAAAAATTTAAATTATATTTATTTATTAATTTTTAGCCCCCAAAATAGGGGTGCTTCTTATACACAAGAGATTTATGGTAGTCCTGAGGGGCTACTTGTGTTCAGTTGTCTGAAGGGTACTTGTCCATGAGAAGATATTCTCAGCATTGATCTCTCCATGTACTGTACATTGTTCTTACCAAAATCTCCATGACATCTTTTGAACACTTTTCATGCATCTCTGGAGGTAAATTGGAGAATGTCTTTTGGACCCAGAAACGGTCCATGTTTTTGGACATCCACCTAGGGCATAGAATGAAATACGATGATTAAAATTAGGGGACCTACAGCTTTACATCCTACCCAAGGGCCTGAGTAACTAAGGATTATTAAAGTGATCACTTCAATGTTTCCACTTGGTAGAAGGCCGGTTTAATTACAAATTTGACATCGAAAGCCTTACTGTGGAACATTGCTTGTTGGAATCATATTATGATTACATACAACATTTAAAATTGATACAAAGTAATAAATCTTATACTATTGTTTACATTTTGACCTTTCAAAACAGTTTGCTTTGATAATTTTAATAGAATGTGTACCAGATATTTTCAGAAATGTAAAGCTCATGTAGCGAATTTACAATTTACAATTGCTCTCATATTTATTTCTCTAACAAAATAAAATTCACTGTTCATTCTTCAACACACAAGGATACTCACAATTGAAAAAAAGTAGTTTCAAGTATCAACAATAAATGGAACTTAATAATAACCATTCACCAACTTCTTATTATTTCTAATCACTTTGATATTCAAATGTAACACCCTACTATCATTTACTGGTAGACAAATTATGAACCTGTGTACTCGACTGACATAACGCAGATGCTTTCATGTGATCTCCTTTTTTTCTTCTTTTTTTTTCAAAAGTGCGCCTTGAGCATTAGATTTGAAGCAGATTCGGCACCTTACAAATGTCATATATTATTATTATTATTATATATTTATTTATCTATTTACAAATATTTATACGGGATGACAATATTAGCCAAAGCTGTTATTGACATTGGTCCTGTATATACATGGTAACATACAAAATAACAATGAAATAAGCAAAACATAACATATATTACAGGGATATTGAATAACATGACATAAAATAGCCAGTGACTAGAGACATGGATGTCAATTTATAGATTTACCCAGAATCACAAAATGAGATTATCCAATGATTTGAAACACATTAAGAATTTTTTTAATCATTATATATTATACTTACCTGAGGCACATTTGAGATAGGTCAGGCAATCCAAAACTCTCACTTAACGCATAGCAATGTGGTACCAGGGCCGAGCACTCAGCACACAGTGGCTGTAAGAAACAACAAGGATATTGAGTCATAGGCAATGAAAGACTTGTAGATGGTACTACATTTACACAGAATCTACTGACCTTTTCATTGATTACTAAAAAGTTGAAAATCGTATCAAACAGAATGTTACACTTGATAAATTTGAAGAATGTAAACTTGATTTTGGAGTAACTTCTGTGCTTTTTTTATTTTACAATAAGATTCATATGATAACTTTTTGAAATTCAAATTAGATTGATTTTTTTTAAATGAATGAGTACTGTAGCTGTATCTGTAACAGTAAATAAATCGCAAAAGTGAAGAATACTATTATCAATAGCAACTGCCACATCACAACATTTTTCATCATCAATAATACATGACACTTGCTTGGAGGTTGGTACATACATTGAATCATCAGAAATCAGAATTCAATAAAATATTGTCATGAGCAGAAATGAATTCATATCGGGAGGGACCAAAGGGTTGCAGTGATTTTGTTTGCTTCCCCCTTCCAGGAACAGGTGACACAAAATACTAAATTAATCAATAATAATAATTATTATTATCTTAGCATAATCTTCCTTTTGCTACTTGATCTACATGTATTATGAAAAATTTCTAAATTCCCGACCAAAGAGCAGATTAGTATAGTTTCTTTCTATGACTGACATGAAGATGGAAATGCTCACCTTGTGAAAGAGATGACACCAGTCTCTTTTGAGATGAAAGGCAGTGACTTCTTTCAATCCCTCTAACCCATACATATCAGCTGCACCAAGGAGATCTCTGCAAAAGATTATTTAAAAAAATTGCATATTTTTTTACAAATTTAATGAAAAAAAACAATGTAAGACTATGTTAACCCAAGTTCTTTTTTAATGCAAAGGTCGTAGCTACAAACTTTCACTAGAAAATTTAATTACTTATATAGCTGAAGATCAGGATATTGTTAACAGAATCATTATTTCAAGGATCCAATCAAACAAACTAGGGCACTATGATGAAATATGATGAAATATGATAACCACCATTTTCTACGTACTGTAGCGCTTCATTTCGTCACACGCAATACTTTCCTCATTCCCACTCCATAGACTTTGCACAGTGGTTTTCTGAACCAGGTTTATAGCCCACACAGGTAAACAGCACAAAACAAGGACCTTTAAATAACCATTTGTCAAGTATAAACATTCAGTATTCTCAAATTCTAGTAGATAAAGATACTACAAAATTATATTGTAATCAATGCTGTCTTCGAGGCCACCTCTTTACAAAAGCCACCTGTGTTTAGTGGTCACTTCCCTTTAGGAGGAAACATGTGTTAAAGAGCCTGTCTAGAAAGGCCACCTTTCTACAGTGGCTACTTTTTGTTTTTCCCTTGGGTAGCATGGCCTTAAGTTTGACTGTACTTGGTTAATGTAACCCTAAAAATGAAATGAATCAATATTCAAGATTGCGTTCATTGGTGCTCAAACTTCAAAACTTTTTTCCCAAGCTTACCTGAGGTTAACATCATCTGAAAGACTGGCAGCACCTCCATACAGGAACTGTATAATGGTTTCCACAACCAGACGACTCATGGTGAAATCAAGGCTAGAAAAGAAATGAAGTGTTTTTTTAAGAAGATTTAAACATCTACATATATTCTACAAATATATACATTTGATACATTCAGGGCCCCGTTTCATAAACTTTTTATCAATAAAAAGATACAATAATTATTATAAGCTACTAAAATCCTCACATTTGAATAGCTATGAGCAGATTTGTCATAGATGGGCAGTTATTATTGAAACAACTTTTTATAAAACAGGGCCAAGATCAGCTTCATTGTAATTGCAACCTAGGAGAGTATTTGTAAGAAGTGAATTTACTCTGGTTTATTTGTGTTTATAAAGATTAAGCTCATGATATTCATGACTTGTACCAGTTTCATAGAATGTCTTAATGGAAGAAAAGGTCATTCCAAGGGTTTATAGCCATTTGTTCTACAACTAGTCCATCTACTTCCAAATTGGTCTATTCCCATATGGTCTACACCTAGCCAATCTACTAACCACATGGTCTAATAGTCATTAGATGATTATTATTGCTATGATTAAATGATTATTATGCCATATAGAATAGAAGACAAATTGGGCATCATAGACAGACTGACTATTAGACCAAATGAGTGATAAACCAAATGAGTAGTAAACCTATTGGAGATTAGACCAAATGGAGATTAGACCAAATGTCTATTAGCCCAAATGGTCATTAGCCAAATGATAAGTAGACAAAATGTGGATAGAAGACGGGCTGGGTGTAGACAATATGGGAATAGACTGATTGGGAAGTGGACGAACTGGTTGTAGACTAAACGGCAATTCACCTTTAAAAGAGCAAATTTAATCAGTTTTCCATCTTCAAATTGGCAACATTGATATGTAGTGTAGCTATTGACCCACTGGAAATCTTCATGCCATTTATTTTCTGTAACAACTTCTGCAAACTGCTTTCTGCACTGGAGAATACATTTTGCTTTCTGCTAATACTTAGCATTGCTTATGCCTAGTTGACACTTTCACGATTTTCGGTTCCCGCATAGTTCACGCACTGAAATTGCATCATGCGTGCCAATGCGTGGACACTTGCGGGAAGGGGCGGGACGATGCGCGGCAATGCGCGGCAATGCGTGAAGAGCGAAATTTTTTTTCAACATGTTGAAAATTTTGCCACGCACTTCCCGCATTGCAGCAGTGCGTGAACTGTGCGCAAACTATGCGCAAACAAGTCGTGCCAATGCGTGCCAGTGCGTGGCGTAAAAACAGTGGGTACCCCACCCCCGGGAATGTGGCACGCACTTCACGACTAGTTCACGACATGGTCCCGCATAATTTGCGCAGTGGTTGCGCATCCTTCGCGCACTTTCACGCAAGGATCGCGCATATCAGTCACGTGATGCGTTTTGTCAAAATATTCTTGTTTGAGCCAGCAGCAAAATCATGGCTTCATCCTCCTCATCAGATAATGATGGGACAGAGAACACAGAGCATGAAGAGAAAACTAAGCGAACAAAAAGAGCACGTACATCTAAAAGGGATGTCCCAGAGTACAAGTGGACCGAAGACGCTGTTCAATTAATAGCCGATTTTGTGAAGGAAAATTCAGCACTATATGATAAGACCCAGAAAGATTACATGAATGTTGCTACGAAGGGAAGGATGTGGGCGAATGGCGGTAAATTATTGGATCCACCTGCCACTGGTAAGTTCTCAATTTTGATGGTTGGTTAGTTAAGTTCCATACCCATGTTTTAAAAATCCTCCTTTTGTTTTTTGTTGTCTGCATTACTAGTTAATAAGAAAGTAATTTACTGGGACAATAATTGTTGATATTTTCCTTTATAGAAATTAAATGTTTTTATTTTTTATTTTTAGGGTTAAACTTCACCACACAAATAGCCTATTTATTGTTTTCCTTGTTTTTAATGTAGGGGACCAGTGTAAGAAGTTGTACGAAAATAAGCGAACTCGGCTAGGAAAGATATTGAACAAGGAGAAAAAAAGTGGATCTGGGCAAACCAACAGAACGACACGTGATGATGAGATAGTGAACACGTGGGGATTTCTGAAGCAACACATTGTTCGTGGCAAGACAACGGCAAGTGACACGGTAGGTATATAAATGACCAATTCACAATTGTTATATTGAAATATTAGAATAACCTTGAAATAACCTTCAGAACCCTTTTCATAATTTTCATTTTGATGTTTCTTCACCTTGCAGTTTGATAGAGAAGGGGAAGTGCACGAACGAGAAGATGATGAAGTTTCTATCATGTCAGTTTCAGAAGATATGGATAATGAGACCTTGATCCCGTTGAAGGATCGGGTCCCAAAGTCGGCACGCTCCGAAGCCTCTGGAACTTCTGGCAGTAGAACTCCAGCTTCTCGATCAAGTACTGTTTTGCAGAATAACCTCGACGATGCTCTCCGTCAGGTAGGCATTATAGAACTTTTTTTAAAATTTTTTTTTAAACAATTGAATACATTACCTAAGCCGGATCCGCTTTCAATAGTTCCATTTGGAAACTATAGAAATTAATTCACAACAAAAAGTATCATTGAAAATTAATTCTTCGACAATCGATCTAAATTTGTTGAGTATATGGCAGTAAATGACAGTAATCAGACCCTGACTTTAATTGCCTTACTAAATTACATTTGGTTATATTGTTTATGCCTTTCAGGTTCTTTCAAGAGCGGATAATTTGGGCCAGACAGCTGCTTTGACAGGTCAAAAAAAGATCGTCCATGATTTTGCCTGTCTTCTGGAGGGCCATATGCAGAAAATTCCAGAGGAATCGTGGCACAGTTTCCAAATTGAATGTCTGCAACTCGTTCACAATTTCAAACAGCCAACCAGGCCAACTCAACCATGTCAACAGCAACCCTCGTCATGGCAGTCAAACCAGTGGCCAATCAATAGTCATTGGTCCAATTTCAATCAATGGTCTCCAGCAAGTCCATCCTTCAACAATGTTGGGATGCCAGCCGCGCCTTCAGCTGTGCCTGTACCGATACCAACGTCTTCTCAGCAGTCCACTGCTTCGACCCCACCCTCCCGACGTAGTAATGAGATGGTTTCCTCGGTTCTGGAAGAGCTTGGAGAAGAAAAATAATGTGTTCAACAGCAGCCGGTGATTAAGAAAAAGCAATACTGATTGCAAAACTAACGTCTTCCATATCGGGACACTCTTTCAGTACTTACCTTAATTCTTACATGGTAAAAAAAAATAAAAGTAAAAAAGAAATTGTTATTTGTTGTTGCCTTTGCAAGGAATTTTATTAAAAATCCACTCGGCAAGAAAACCATTTATTTATACATTTGGAACAGAGGTATAATATTTTCTGAAACGTAAACCAGAACTACACACTGAAGAGCAAGGGTAAAATGTAAGTCGGAAAATATATTCCAGATTTTTGAATGTTCTGAGTTCCAGGGAGAGCTTCGATGGATATTCTCGATTTAGACATTTTGACATATACTCATGCATGATGCTTTTATCAAGAAACAAAATGAAAGGTTTACTGAGTGGAAGATTTTTTGGTTCCTACGTTTTTACATTTGTTCTAGTAGTTGATTAGTTCATGTTACTCACTTGTTACAACTTTAAAGTGTTCAAAATATCATTGAGAAATCTTGGTAATTATAACATGTCTATAAGGTAGTTCAAATTGGAGATTCAGTTGTCAGTCACCATGAAACTAAACGTTATCCTGCAGACTTATTTTCTTTTCTTCATCACACGTTATTTAAATTGCATTTATGTGAGCATATCCAGAATGCCTAAGTTTTCTACTCGGTTATGTTTCTTTTATTAAAAAACACGCAATTCGTGCATTCTGATTGCTTCTGATTACAAGTCTCTTATTACACACAAAAAACAAAACATGTAAAGTTGTTTATATTAAGAGTAACATATTGACAAATCAAAGGCTAATCAAAGACTGCAAAGATAGGTGAATATCAAGGCCTTTAATAAAATGGGTAACTATAAGCACTTGATATTTTTCATTGGATTTCAAAAATGATTGTTAAGTTTCCGCACAATTCGTTCAAGTGCACCTATTCATACGAGATAACAGCGTCAACTGTTTGACTATTACATATATACATATGTTAATAGCATCTTCTTAAACGATGTAAAAGCATGATCGTATCAATAAATGATATTCAATTTCCCAGTTTTTCCTATCTCTCACAGATGTTTTGTGTAACATATGATTGATGAATGGATACAATAATTCATTAATAAAGCGCAAGCTGAACGTCTCCAACGTCAGTCTACCGTCTGATCCGCGTTCAGGAAGCGTTTTTAATTTTCAAAAACGCTGGGCCGACGCAGGCTAAAAACGCAAAGGTGTGACACAGCCTTAACACGTGACTCTTGGTCACGTGTCATGACGTATGTCATGCACTTCCTGTCTGTTATAGCTTATTATAACTTTTTGTTTGTAAGAATCCGTTTTAATCCATGAGTGGTTATTTTTCAAAACATTCTAAAGGTTGAATCCATAAATGTATCTGTACCCGTGTTTATATCGACCCCCCCCCCAAAAAAAACCAAACTGTTCTTCTTGCGTTAAAGGGTTGCAAAGGGGGGATTTAAAAACAATAAGATATAATAAAATACCTGCAGAGAAGTGCATGGCATACTTCATGCCACGTGACCCAGCGTTGCCAGTTAGCATGATAAATAACTTTTGCGTTATATTCATAACTTTCTTATTTATTGTCCGATTTACTTCAACGTTTTTGGTTTTGTTTTAATTGTTTTGTTTTTCGTCTGATTTATCTGCTTTTAATCAATACAAGATTTTTTTCTGGTGCGGACCCAGTCTTTAAATGTGCGTTCGTGTGTATGTGTGTGTGTGTGTGTATGCGTGCGTGTGAGGAGTGGGGTTTGTGCAAGCTTACTAGAAATACGAAATTTCTATGCCCCGACACCAACTGCATCACGTTTAAGTTCAACAACAAAGCTTACCAAAACCCCTTAATTTCCTGACAACATTAATTGCTGATACACTGTAGAATTTTTGTGTACATAAAGACAAACACATTATAAACACTGATCTCATATCCTAAGTTTAAAATCAGATGTACAACAGACGGTTGATATTGGAACGATGTCGGGCCTTGTTGAAATACATAACCATTCAAGAAATAAAATGTCATTTGTGTCAGTGTCATTTGGCATTTTTTGTGGAATTGAGCTAGTGCTATACTGCATCACAATAATGTCATAGTTAATCTGCTTAGGTTATCATCTTTTCTTGCCAGGAAACTGCTCCAGCGCGGGAGGTGTAATAATGTGATAGATATGCACGTTGGCTCTTAGCTTCCTTGATAGAAGTGTTTCCTGTCGGAGCTCTCAGACCGTGAAACACAGGGTCGTCTCTCCATGCACCAGGTATCATCGCATGCGTAGATGGATCTTCATGGTCTACATCTCCTGATGCCAGTGGGTACCTGGTTAATATCAGATTATGTAGGACGCAGGCACTCATGATGATTAAGTTGGTAGTTTGGGGCTTCTGCGGAAGTGTAGTTAGGAAACATCTGAACCTAAATCAAGTAATACCATAAAACAAGAGCCCATCAATATGAAATATATATATATTTTTTACGATCTGTACATATGAATCTTGATTTTAAAATAATCACGCTTCATTTGGAGTAAAAACAAAATATTGTACTTGTTATTTGGAGAAACTAGATATACTGAATACTAAAGAAAAAGATCACTATAATAAATACAAACAAAATGAGAGCATCTGCTTAGTGTATCATTTCAGATTTGTTAGCAATTGCAGTCTCGCATGGTATTTTGTGCGTAAGCTGCAGAAATAGCAACATGTGTTGATAAAATAAACACCATATAAAAATTCTACGTTATGCTGGTTTAAACAAAGTGGGTTATGATAACAACTCCTTTCTGGGGGGAAGTTAAATATTTTTATTCAATGTGCTTGAACTTTTAAAGCAATAGGCACTGATAATGGAAATGAATACAGAAAGAAAGGGAGACCTACCTGTGAGCCAAAATACCAAACGAGTTTTCCACTACTCGCCTAGCTCGGCTTAGTCTATAACTGAAGATGATCTCCTCATGAACTTGGGACCTATGTGAGAAGGGCTTCATTAGCCAGGGCTTCATCGCAAATGCATCGTCAGCCACAAATTGGAAAGGTATGGGCATGTCATCATTGGGCATTGGTTCCGGTGGCGGCACCCCTGCTCTTTCCCCTTCTATGGCATCATACAAGTTGCAGTTTTTCCAAGTTCCACCATCTGAAGAGCCACCCTCTGCTCCAACATCCACATACAGAAACTTATATTCTGCATCTGCTACAGCCATGAGAACAATACTATGGAAACCTTTATAGTTAAAGTACAAGGACCCAGACTTTGGCGGCTTCCTGATTGCCACGTGTTTGCCATCGACGGCACCAAGGCAATTATGATAGTTCCATCTGGAACTGAACTTCTTGGCCACATCCTTCCACCCATCTTCAGTTTTTGGACAGCTGAGTACTTCCTTTTTATACACTTCAATGAGTGCATTACATACTTCGGGAATAAATCTCGATATGGTGCTTTTCTCAACTCGAAAGCTGTACTGTAAGGGAAGGCAACTTTATTATCACTCGCGTTCGTCCGGGTTCGGGACGCCTACTTATCTCTTAATCCCCCGTTCCCGGACGCGTATTGTACGCTGGCGGTCCCTTGGCGTCCCTTGCTCGCGTCTATTGTTGTCTGTTGGACAATAGAGCAGGCAGCCAGAAAAGAAGCCATCCCGTCCGCTAGGACCGCTGTCAATCAACCTCACCGCTATCCAGCCCCTCTCTAATCCTTTCTAATCTGGCGTCCCCTGACAATAGCTGACCCGTCTAGAACGCGTTAATCTGGCGTTCCCTGACAATAGTAGCACCCGTCTAGCTCGCGTTTAGAATACGATAGTAGATTTTCATAGATGAATTTTCAGTCTTGAAAGCAGAGCTAGAGCTGCAATCCCCCGGGTTGATTGATAATAATTTGTCCCAAAAATGTGTCGCGCGCTAAAATAATAAACCTAACCAGCAACGCCTCAAGTCTTTCTACATACAGCTGCATATGAGTAAAAGCTTCTGCGACACTGCAAATATATAAATCATATTTAGTAGTGTCTGTATTCCCCAACCTATTAATCAGTACTGCATTGCGTGGATCAGCAATTCGCGCAAATCACAACATGTGGATAGCCCCCTAACATGCGGTCACGTGATCTGAGCCCGACAGCGCTGGTAAAGACGCAGCACACTCGAAGGCCCTCGAAGGGCGCTTGCGATAAGCCAAAAAAATCGTTACAAAATCTCTGATTTCTTGATTTTAAGCGCTTTTTTTTGGCGAAGCCGTTTTTAAAACTTGGCTAAGCCACCGCATGCTTTGGAAATATGGCTCCGATTCCGCACTTTTGACAGCAAAATTTGGCTTTTGGGGTGGATTTTTGGAAGTGACATCGGGATTTCCTTGTACTAGTGAGTGACGCTGTGTGTAGTGCAGTGCACTGATATGTAATTTGCGTGTGTTGTGGATGCTGGTTTGATATCACGATCGGATGCATGTATGTGTGTATGCATAGCCTGGGGTAATGCGCACGTCTTTGAGTGGTGTACATCCCCTGTGTTGTGTGTAATGTGCATGCGTGCGCGCCACAGGAATTGCCAACACGAAACATTGGCACAACTATGCATACGCTCGTTCTCACAGCCAACCTGTAGCCACGTTCGCACAGCCAAACTTAAAAAACCTGTATAAATACGTTAAAAACGTTCTGCTTGGCAGCTCTGTGAAGTCTGAGTTTTATGTAAAATCACAGCAGAAAATTCAGTGTTTTTACAAAATAAATATAGAAATCAAAATTAGGATTTACATTGCATGTACTACCTACAAGTGAAGATGTAGATGTAACTTTGCCTCCCTGTTGTTTTACTTTTCCCTTTTGTTGATTTTTTTAATTCTATGCATAATCAGGCCTCTCGCCAAGAAATTAAAAAGGCGTGGCGCGACACTAGGGAAAATTTGACCCCGCTCCCCTAAAAAAAAAAAAAAAACGTTTACAAGTATTAAGAGTAATTTGTTTAATTGTTATCCCTTTATTATGTTCCGGGTCATTGTCATATTTACCCTTGCACTAAATAATCTCAATTATCAATATTTATAGTATGTTGGAATTTGTGAAATTTGTTATCCAATGTCACGAAGAAAAAAAAATGAATATGATCATAGTTGTTTGATTTTTATCGAGCTAGACCAAGTCATGTATTTAAAGCTGTAATTATTTTCCTTATATTAAAAACAATATTGCATTTTCTTATTTTCACAAAATTGCAGTACTCAAATTCTCTGCCTCAAAATGACATATACACCCGTTGACTCCGAGACACCAAAAATAAGAAGAGCTGTCGACGTGTTTGTAGGCCCGCGTCATTAACATGGCCAGTTCATATTTTTAATTTGCTGGAAATTGTTCTTTAAAAATGAGAAATTCACGAGTTTGAGTAGGATCTCACTATATGATTGTTAAATATCAAAATTTTGAGCTTTTTTTATTGCCCGATATGAAACCATGCAGCCACAAATGAATTTGAACATTTTGATTGACTGCATAGTTGCTTAGTAACCAGACATACTAGTCAGTTCATTCATGACTTATGAAGCCGCCTCTGAGCTAATGTAAACAAAAACAAAGCCATTTATGGGCCGAGTGAATGAACTCAAGTGAATGTGACAGAGAAGAGAGCGTGAGAGAGGTTTTCCCACGCTCATCTTTTCAGGGGAAAGGGGGGGGGGGGGGGGAGGAGGAGATAACTTCACGAAAGAGACAGCGCAAGAGAGAGATAGAGAAAGAGAGGGAAATGTATGATGGAGAGCGCGCAAACATGAAAGGGCTAGGCCGCCAAGAAGGGATCGGAGCTGAACAAAGGGGAGACATTAGCATTTTGATAAGATTAGATCATCGACCAAGGCCACGTGATGAGTGATTGCTCACTCGTAGTTGGTTTCTCAAATAAATAACAGATAGTGATGAAATGTTCCAGAATGAGTGAAGTGAAGTTGTGGGTCTATCTTTGCCTTCCTGTTGGTTTTACTTTTCCCTTTTCTTGAATTTTATTTTGTACAATGCATTTTCGTATTTATTTAGTCGCCCTTTTTACCTGCGGCTGCCATCTTTCCGTCTCCCGATCCTTTCTTTCTTCTTGAACTCTAATATTTCTTTATTTATATCTTCATCACCAGGCGCGCACGCAGTGAGAGGGAAGGGGGACCCCCCCCTCATTTTGTGTGTGTGCTTATGGGTGACCCCAAAAACATCATTTCCTGGACCAAAAAAAAAAGTGCTCTTACCCCCTCCCCTGCCTGTCAGTACAAAATTTTCGGCGCAATTTAACCCCCCCCCCCCCCTACGAACAAATCCTGGGTACGCCCCTGTTCATCACTTACTTCATCTAATTTTGTAATTCCATCTCTTAGATTTTGTTTTCAATGATTAATGATGATAACGTTATTATATCGTTTTTCAGAATTTCATTGAAATTAAAAATTTGAATTGTGTTGAAGACTGCGAATTCATTCTTTAATACGTCTCCCGATTTCTTTATCTTGAAATTCAATATTTTTTCCTTCACCTAATTTATCTGCCCCCTCTAATTTTTTAATTCCATCTAGTCTTTTAAATAATTTTTTTTTTTTGTTCTTATTTTTTTCTTCAATTAAATACAAACTTTATTTTTTCTTGGAATTGAATTGAAATTGGGGAGGGTGTGCATATTTATTCTTAAACAAAACAGAGAATGTCATAGATCATTGGAGAGTGGGACAGAGAAAGACCGAGTGAGAGGGGAATTGGAGAGAACGAGGGAAAGAAAGAGGATGCAAGAGATGATGGATGTTGAAATTCTTATTGTAATCCTCTGTATATTTACGAGAAGTAAAAAGAGTTCTATTTCTTATTTTCAATCTAAATGGTCCGTATATGCTCTAATAATTGAACAATGTTGTTCTCATGCCACATGGCATTGCTCTTTATCGTAGTCTAGTCACAACGGGAAACAAAGAATGACAGATTTATTATGACATTCCCGCTCTCAGAACAAAGGCGCGTAACGATGTTAAATATACGCGATGTTTTGGAACTTTGGTGTTGATTGACATGACGCCTCATTTCAGATAAGCAATCGACAATAGTTATAATGAATAAATGACACATATTTGTAAAGCTTAGATCCTCTTCTTTCATTTGATGCAACTCATATAATGCATATTTCACGAATGAGCGATTAAAAAACAATTTGAAGACATGATCCTTTGGTAAGTTCACTTTCTGCCCTTTCATAAATTAAACCTCGGCTCAATCAGGAAAAATGAGCCGGGAATAACAAATTTCTGTTTGTTTAAAGTAATGCTTGCACTTCCATAATTTGATTAAACGAATTCGTTTTCACTGGCTGCCTGCCGTAGCAACAGAGTTATGGAAATTATGGAAATGCAAGCATTACTTTAAACAAACAGAACTTTGTTATTCCTGTACAAATATGTGTCTTATATTTATTATAATTTTGATTAAGTTATCATAAAACATCGATAATTTTCCGTTTCGTTTTCTCATGGGACGCACTAGCTAAAGAAAGTGTTGATTAAAGAAAGAGAGATAGTGGTAAGAGGTAGAGAGATAGTGGTAGAGAGAGATTAGAAAGGTGACTGGATGAGAGAGAGGGAGAGAGGGCTAACAAAAAAAGGGTCGTAGAGAGGGCCTGGAGAGAAAGATAACAGATAAGAAAGGAAATAGTTGTGATTTGAGATACAGATGGATTTACTACTATCGAGAGAGAGAGAGTTTCAAGGTGTATTCCCGAATTAAAAAGGGGAATTGTTGGATCTGTTTTTGTTATCGGAACAAAAATTCTCCTCACCATTGTCCAGTCGCAACAACGACATACAAATAATGACAGATTTATTATGACATTCCCGCCACAAGTCGGCGCTCTCAGAACAAAGGCGTAGGCTGACAATCTTAAATATCGCGGTCTGTCTGAACTTGGGTGTTGATTACAACATTTCCAAGATACGGTTATCAATCCAACTTTCTACTTCATTTGTGCCTTTTCATTGCACCCACGAAAAGATCGATAGAAATGTCAGAATGTCTATTACCCTTCCCAGCTCAATGGGCGGCACAGGGTATGCAAATTAGAAATTGTTCTAGCGCTGCTGGTCGCTACAAGGCGGCCGCGGCGTAGTATCATTCATTCAAAATCAGTTTTCATAAGACCAAACGTCCAAAATGATGACAAAAGATGACATATAAAAATACATAACAGTCTCGTAGAGTAAATATTTCAAAGAACAAAACATGCATGTCTACGTCCCTCTACCTCTCTTTCCCTCTCTCTCTCAACCTCAAACAACGGACCTCTGCATCGATTGCGATTCACACAATTTTCATTTCATTTACATTTCATTTAAAATGGGGAAAGCCTTCCGATCGCTAGAAGGAAGAAATTTTACTGGCAAGGTGATTAAACGAGTTCTTGCCCCTCTTAGCGCGACAAAAAGAAACCCTATTCCTCTCAAGAATTATGTAATATTATGTAAGATAATCCCCCCATTCTTGCCCCTTTCATTGGGTACGCGTTTGGGACGCTCGCGTTCTCTAAACAAAGGAGGGTACGCGATGAATGGAGAAGGTTTTAATCCACCATACCTTACGCGTTAAGGACAGTCGCGTTCTGCTAACAAGAGAGGGGACGCGATCGTCCTGAACCCGGACGAACGCGAGTGATAATAAAGTTGCCTTCCCTAATGTAGCATAAGAATTTCCTGTTGCCAAGAAACGGAGAGTGACGGCTAGTTTCAGTCCAACTTCTAGTGGTTCTCGCATAAACGTTGTTTTCTTCTCCAGATGAGGCGTTAGCTTTCCAACCATTTCCTCAAACAGATCAGGAGTGATTCTCAAGAAATTCTTATAGCTCTTTTGATCCTCCCTATGCAGCTCTGCCAGTAAATGATCAAAATGTCCGTGGATGTGGCGTCTTGACAGCCAATCTCTCACCCACAATGTCCTCCTTTTTCTTTTTCCTTTTTTCTCCTCTTCTCGTCTTTCTTCAAGATCTCTTTCTCGTTGATAAACTATTAATGCTCCTGCAGCTACATATAAACACCTTCTCTGTTCTAAATTAGCTTCTTCAGAATTCAACATCTTAATGACGATAGTTATGCTGAATTAATGAAAAACACGAGAGCGAATAGACGTCTGCCTTGTTTTTTGTGATAGTTAACACAATGCGCAAACTAGTTGTGAATAGTCGTGAACTATGCGTGAACTATGCGTGAACTATTCGTGAACTATGCGTGAACAATGCGTGAACAATGCGGGAACTATGCGTGACAGTGCGTGTCACTGAAGTGGCACGCACTGTCACGCACTGGCACGCATTCAATGCGGGGCAGTGCGGGACCAAAAATCGTGAAAGTGTCAACTAGGCATTAAAGGGGTGTAGCATGGCAAATACTGGTTAAACGCCATCTACGACTTATTTTGGACAACTGCACGTAAACGAATGGACTTGATTAACGGTCAGCGCGTGCTAGCTTTCGCGAAACAGACCAAAGTTCTCCTCATGCTTTGGTTTCGCATATGTTGCACGCACGTATATATTGCGGTCGTGTCATCCGTAGTCGTATTTTATCGATTGACCCCGAGTCAGGCCATGGGAAACACACGTAGTCTCATCATGCTACATCCCCTTTAATCAAGGTCATTCTGAGCTACAGTGTGTACAAAACAATAATTACACTTTTGTTTTTTTGCAGCAAAGTTATGTTCTATCATAGCCGACTCACCCTTTCATTTGTATCTCTTGCGTCTCACTCTCTATCCATCCACCTCCTAACATAGCAGCAAAGATCTCACAGCGGCAGTGAAGAAGAAATCTGTGAAAGTAGCAAGGTCAGACTAGTCATTGTATGCAGTAATCAGAAATAAGCAGGTTCTTTCCCACAACCTTAGAAAGTTAGTTTAATTACTCATTATTTCTACGTATCATTTGAGGGAGCCACACTTGTACAAGCACTGCTTTTTAGTGGACGCCTCTGTTTCTAATATATGTATTCCTAAGTTGTTATAAATGTTTATAATTGATTTGTAATGTTTCTTTGGAAACACAAATAAATTGAATTGAATTGAAAGTGAATAAGCACTTCTCTTTTCATACATTGTACATTCAAAGTTTAATGGTCATGCACAGAAATAAAAGTTCCTTTTCTTTGGCATAAAAATCATTGTCTGCCCTTTTCTTTATCCATGAAACAGCAAGATATTCTCTACAGAAATGATGTCTTCTAATCCGAAAGTACTTCTTGACAATATTATTTGAATTCCGAACTTTAATCCTGGCTCAATTACTGCTTACCCTACACATAACATCAATTATAATTGTAACTTCAGCCTAAACCCTGTTTTGTTTTGTTTTTACAAAATAGAACCACAGAGAAGTGTCACAGGGGCAAATGCCTGATCACTGAAATGGACAAGTTCATGCAATTTGAAACAAAGATAAACCAATTTTGCCACAAACCCTGACCACAATAATATAAATGTGACTGGCTTTCAGTTCAGACAAGGAGCGGCGTAAAAACAGGGCCTCCTCTTATAAACAGTTGCAATATCACAACTTATTTGCGATTGATATCCCCTTGAACTATGTAATCAAGAAATAAGAGACTGCAAACTTGCAATCGATTAGAGGACTTGCGATTAATTTGGATTGATTTGGATCAATCGGAACTCTTTAAAGATGGGGCCTAGATTGAGATCCTGTCATGCACAAGTTCAGAGTTCAAAGTTCACACCGTACAGTAACCATACCTATGCGCAGGAATCCTGGTATCATTAGCAGGTACCAGAGCAACATCACTGAAGGTGGAAGAATCGCTGTCCAGGAGACGCATCAAGTTTTGCGCCAGGGTTCCGGAGGGCGCTGGCAGTTTATGAACCCTTGCAACAAACTGGTGCAATTCATCACTGTTTGTGTTACTGGCATTGAGATCTTCTACAGGACTCTCTTGCTTCTTTAGTGAAACTGCTTGATCATCAGAGTTTTCCTGTTGACTACTTGATGTTGGATCACCATTTAGGAGTGATTCGTTGGTTATCTGTTTATGCTCAGTGCCATTGGTCTCTTGCACTGTAGGACCATTAAGAACTAAAGCAGGGATACCATTAACGATCGCTGCATCAGCTTCATCGCATTTATCCAGTCCACTTTCCTGCTCAGAGTGCACTCTTGGAATGTTTTGATCAGTAATCGGCCCGGGGCTTGAAGCTTCATCCCAAAGGTGACGGCAGCAGATTCCTCCTTTTGCAGCAACCGCATGGGAACGAGGCCCATAGGTGAGTCCATAGTTACGTACTGACAAACATCTAGCTGTTGAACACTGTCCATCTGAGATCCTGGTGTGGCTGCTGAAGCAGCTTCTGTTCCTTGATGATCATCCACAGGCAATTCTAGTTGTTCAGTCCCATTTGTAAGGGGAATGTTGGCAGAATCAGCCTCTTCGGTATGCAGCAGTGAATTTGATGTCCGACCATCTTCTCCTGGCCCTTCTTCTTGATCCCGACATGCAGGATCTACACTCTCTACGGCGTTGTGTCTTTGACAGGGTTCCTCAACCTCTGAGGATTCCTTTGGTATGGGTACATCGGAGGCAGCTCCTCCACCTTGCGCACCCAACAACACATCTTCCAGCTCCTTGACACCTCCAGGATGTAGCTCTGCATCTCCTGCAGACGAAGTCTCCTCTGGTTCTCCACCTGCTCCTTGCTCGTCAGGAATGGCAATGTGAGAGAGAAACATTTCCCATGCCTTCGCCAGATCATCCTCCTGGTATACACACCTAGAAATAGAAATGGAGATGGCATTTGAATACATGTAGTCATTCCAAACAGCAAGTCTTTGAAGAAGGTTTGAGTCAACTACAATCTGCATACCTTCCCTTAAAATTTAAGAGGAAAACATATTTTCAGACAGTTGCACACAAGAAATAATTTATGACAAACAGTTTTTGTTTTCTCAAAAATACAAGAGGGAGCATGACTGTCCTTCATCTAAGAATCAGTGCTCTATTTCAGGGGTTTTATACACCCTCTGTGTAGAGCTAGAAGGATATTAACTCATATATTTGAACAAAGAGTTAACAACCTTCTGGCTCTAAAGAGATGATATGGAGAGAGAAAGAAGTCATCTTTCCATCACAACAGTCAATCTCTAATGTGCTTTCAGAACAAAACCATCAAACTTCTTACTTGACAAACTGTGCCAGGTCTTCAGCCGCTATGAGGTCTAGGATAGTCTTATTTGGTACACCATCCGGACAGAGGATATCCAGAAGACCAGGAACCCTTGATTCAAAGATGGCCCTATGGATATGCATGGGTGTTGGCCCACATGGGAGGGTGGTGTCTGAATAGGTCCCATCTTGAAATAACCTGTTTTGATTGGGATACAAATGGGACATAAACAGGGAAATATTTTAGACATGGTTCAGGGATTCAGATACCGGTACTAGTTACAGATGGTAAGTATTTCTTCTATTTTTTTCTTATCATTCTTTAATTTCTTCTTCTTTGTCTTCTTCTTCTAATCTTCTTATTTTCTCTATCTTTCTTCTTCTCTTTATTCTTCTTGTTTTACTTCTTTTTTCTTTCTTCTGATGTCTGAATAGGTCCCATCTTGAAATAACCTGTTTTGATGGAGATACCAATGGGACATAAACAGGGAGTATTTTAGACATTGCTCAGGGATTCAGAAACTAGTTACAAATGGCAAGTATTTCATATAATTTTTCTTATTATTCTTTATTTCTTCTCCTTTTTCTTCTAATCTTCTTATTTCTCTATCTCTATCTCTCTATCCTTCTTTTTTTTTAACTCCTTCTTCTTCTCTTTCATATTACTAACAGCTAAATAAATGGTTTAATTATTCAAATTATCAATATAGTAATAACCCCCATTTAAAAAGAATAATCAAATTAGATACAGCGTCACTGAGGTAAATGAGTAGTAATTCAAAGATTATAAGCCTACTTTCATTGTATTATTCTTTTAAGTAATGTCTGTGTAATGTTATTATTCATTCAGCATAAAATTAAATGATTTGATCGGTACCTGTAAATATCAGCTTTAAGTTTAATGTGCAGTTTCTCCTGGATCCTAGTCTGTTCTTTATTTGCTTTCTCTAAGAAGACAGGCGTCTTGTGTTTGTCACGACGAACAGCCATGATGATGTCTTCTATTCCAATTTGGTACTATTGTTCACATGTCTGTACTTTGAGGAAGAAAAAAAGAAGCAAAGAATCAACACATGCACACTAAAATAGAAATTGTATTTGAAATAGAAACAGATCTAGATACAAATGAATTATAAGTTTATTCAAGAAGAAATATTTAGTATTTGGTCGCACATGTTTAAGTTTACAAGCCAATAATTGGCAAAGATTATTCAAACTATAATCAAGTGATTGACACATTTGACGAAAATATCGTCACTTGACGACGATATGAATTTATGATAATCTCAGTTAGAATCAATTATTGTTTATGGTTATATACAAAACAATTGTAAATTAATCTGGATATTCAAGGGATTAGATAATCCTAACAAGTCCCCCTCCTTTTTAGGACTGACGCTTTCCCACCCCCCCCCCCCCCCCCCCCCTTTCCCCTTCCCCATTTCTAATGTAAATACATGACATGAATGTTAACAAATGGGACTGCTATAATTAATACCTGATTCAGATATTTTGGTTATTGGCTTATGTTTAACCAATCTAAATGCCATTTCTAGAAAATTAGTCGCTGAATATCAATAGGAATGAACTAAATAGTCCGAATCTACACATACAATACTAAAATATACCTTTATTACCTTTGAAGTTCTGTACTTTTGACGTGGAAGTGGAATTTGAATTGCGAAATATGTTGTTGTTGTTGGTGTCTTTGAAAGGTCGGAATAAAAGAAGAAAATACCTGACGTTCAAAAGTCATTTTATAAGACTAATATTCGAAACAATCATGTTGATTTGGAAAAGCAACATGTTTTCTTCTTGTATTTCACATAAATATTATCACACTTTTATGAATAGATCATTAGATCTGATACAATAAAGTGAAAAGAATACAAGACTTTAGTTTTGAACTTACGCACTTGTTTTCAGAAGCTTTGAATATACCGGTATCATTGTGTCCATTCAAATTGATTTAATTATGATTATCAAAGCGGGCCCAGATCCAGGAATGTTGCCAAAAATGGAGTGCAGTAGTTCATCCTCCAATTTCGTGACAACCAAAGCAAGCCAGAAAGTTTTTTAAAAAATAAGGGGGTGTTGGGATTTTAGAGCCTATATAGTTACTCTAAAATTTCCTGACAAGAAGACCAAATTTTCCACACATGCCAATGAAGGGGCACATTCTTTTTCCTGTGTACTAAAGGCGAACGATGTACTTAAGTTCAAGGGGGCAGGCTCAAGGCTGGCCGTGTCCCCTCCCATAATAGTGATAACAAGAGGGGAAGAATGTACATTAAGAGAGAGAGAGAGAGAGAGAGAGAGAGAGAGAGAGGGGGGAGAGAGAGAGAGAGAGAGAGAGAGAGAGAGAGAGAGAACAAAAAATACTGAGCGGTTATGCAACGCAGACAGAAACTGATACTAAGTTGATAATCCCTCCCACAAACGATTGCCTTCGTATATTCTGCCTTTCTGCATTTTGTCTATCAGCCCTCCAGTGATATCAAATTGATTAATTTGAAATGTCACTATGATACCGATGTCAGACAATCCATTTGTCCCAAAGTTGTATATATTTTGTTTTTAAAACATTGTGATTCCTAGCTAGTATAAAGGATCTTTTACGAGGGGAATTATTTCTTGTTTTGGTTCTTGTACTCTCTCTCCCAAGAAATAATCGGATACATGAAATCAAAAATATTACAAAATCGATATATAACATGAAACTTAATTCTGTAACTTGCCCTGATATTGAAATGTATAAAAGTGATAGCTTATATTACTTTGATATGCATGTCGGAGGCAAAGTACTAGTTTTCCCAAAATTATTTTGTACTCATTAAAAATCTTTTAGTAATACCAAAGTATATATTTCTGTTATTGTGAGTGAATCAAGATCTTCGAGATAGTGGTTAAAAAAAATGAAATGAAAATAAAGTAAACGAGGGATATTTCCTTATGAACAGAAAGTCAGAATATATCAAGCAAAACAAACACAAAGGGAAAATCATAGCGTATAATACAAGATTGACTTTTCAATAATTGACCAATCTGCATAAAATTTATAATAAAAGAATCAAGTTTCAGTTAAAAATGGCTCTAATTATATTAAAACCTGCAACATGTTGAAATTTTGATCGTTTATGTCTTTAACCCAAACATTTTTTTCTGCTTGGCTTCTCTCTACCGAGGTGATAAATGGGTCAGGCGCGTACGCAGGATTTTTTCAAGGGGGGGGGGGGGGGGGGGGGGGGTTTAACATTTATAAATCGGGCCGAAAATTTCGCAACGACTCAGCCAGCCGCTGAATAAGCGGGGGGGGGGGGGGGGGTAAGATGGTCACTTTTTTTTTTTTTTTTTTGGTCCCAAAAAAATCGCAACAATTAACTCAGCCGACCGCTGAATAAGCGGGGGAGGGGGTAAGAGGACACTTTTTTTTTTGGTCTCGAAATTTGAAAATTTGACATTTTGCTCCGTTGGGGGGGGGGGGGGGATAAGGTCAGCTTTTTTAGGTCAACCATGGGAATTTTTTTTTTTTTTTTTTCTTTATAAAAAAAAAAAAAAAATCCAAAAGGGGGGGGGGAGGGGGTTTTAGAGAAATTTAGGGGGGGGGGGGTTTACACACAAAAAATTACTAAAGGGGGGGGGGGGTTTAACCCCCCAAACGCGCCTGAAATGGGTTCCAGGTATGATGCGAAAGTCATTATACTTTGCTCAACTTTTTGAGCGTTTGTAAAATGGTACCTGACTGAAAAGCTCCCAAGAGTGCATAAATCGTTGCCGGGCAAACCTGAATCCGATATTATTATTTTCGACATGTGTTTGACAATTGATTGAAATTTTTAAAATGAAAATAATTATTATTTATTGATACTGATTGATTGATCCAACTATTGTGTTTGTGTTTCTCCAATGATCCCATTCCGAACGAAGGAAAACAAAAATTACCGTAACAAATTTGCATGGGTTCTTTCTGCACCACCATATCGAAATATCTGAGCACCTCTACTTCGGTTGCTCACTTCAGCCGGCCATATTTCTGCTAATGTTATGTATTTTTTGTACGTAGCAAACGGAATCACAAGTAGCAATTCTAAATGGACAAGTTTCGTGGTTTTAATTCGACAGATGTACAATTGAACGGATGATATCTAATGCATACGTTTTCATCGGCGATTAAACCTGCTTTTATATACCGCCTATCACCGTTTTGTTGGAGGAATTATTTCTACTGGGGAACCGCTGTATCGGTGGCAGCGGAATACCATTCATTGTAAAGGTGTGTAGACCCCCGTACTTAATCTAACTAAATACAACGCTAACCGGTCGGCGCAGCTCCAAGGAGCTGAGCGCTCGCGCTCGGTCGGCATGCACTGAACAAGTCCGAAGGCTTGAAACGCAAAGTCTATTTCACTTCAGACGTTGTGTAAATACCAACCATCATTCCATTTCTACTTTGCTTGTACTATGTACCTAGATCTATAATAGGATTAAGAACATGACTAGATTTAGATAGTCTATGAGTTAGTAGACTCTAGTAAAAATTAATTTCTTTTTTGTTTTTGTTTTTTGAAACCTGCGTCATCGCGACATCAGCAGTAGGGGGCGCTGGTCCGAGAATAAGAATCGATCGCACAAACGAGGATCGTCTTCACGTCTGTGAAAATAGGCATCGTCTGCTTTTTTCGCTAACGATTCTGATTTTGGATCCGCAAGTTGGCGATGCCAAAAACAGATTCCGCGATGATTTTCTTGATGCATTTTACATTGACTTTCACGAAGACAACCCATAAAAGTAGCCAGTGAATTGAGATTATTTTATTACGCGGACTTCCAATAGAAATGTGTGTTAATTCTAAATGGGATGTCCAAGAAGTTAGACTGATGACGGTTTTGAGTATTAACGGCCACAACACAAGGTCAATCTTTTACTTGACTTTGTTTTGTCTTTGATTGAGTTTGACTGAGTTTGATGTTTTTGTCATTATTGCTTTTCTTTAGAAATTAGAGGTCTGGAGTGTGGACTCTACCTTTCTATTTGTTATCTCGTAGATCTCTGTCTCGTTCATCTTCAAGTCTGTTCCCTGAGACATTTGTTTTGTTTTTAAGAAATTGTAACTGTTTTTTTTTCTTTTTGAATTTTACACTTTTTGCCATATTGATTTAAACAGTTGTGACATTAAAACCCAGGTCAAGTGAGAATGTTTGTTTATGCTACTGTAATTACTGATTTTTGCTGTTGTGTGTTTAAATGATGTAATCTTTTAAGTCTTTCATTCTCTTTCAAATTTGTCGGTAGTTGGTCATATTCATAAGGAAAACATATACATCATGTATCTTCCAGCACAAAACCCCCAGACCTACTGTTTTTTCTCCAACTATTAATAAAGAAATTGACTTATTTGTTTACTTTGCTGTAGACCAACTACATCTATGAATCATGATGCATATGAACTCTATTACATTTGTTTCACAAACTTATCTCTTTCCATCAACCACTATAGTACATTTACATTAAGATTATTTTGATGCATAACAAAAGAGGGGGTACCCTTTGGGGGGGGGGGGGTTAAGATTACCGAGAAACTTTGTGAAATATAAATGTTATGACAGTGTAAAACTTGTCTAAACAAGTGAACTGTGAAACAAACCTTGCAATCTTTGCATTCGTGAACAAATTCCTCATGTTTATGGTCGTAACTGAACTTGCACACTATTTCTTACTATTCTACATGTAAGTGCACAGTAGTCAGTAGCTGTGTGACCGTGTGCTTTTGATGAATATCAGTCAAAGATCAACAGCTGAGGCAAAGAGGAAATCAGATGATCTGATTCATGCAGGATGGGAAGGGGATTCCCCAATGCAAGCATCATACTGATTAGGGGACTTTCCCCATTGCTGTTGCAAGCTTTCAACTTGCTGCCTGTAAATCTACATGTAAAAGCTACCGGTACTTGCAGTTACATGTACATTTACTTCTATGAGTTTATAATTTAGGCCAATTTATTTATTTGAACTGTCATTTTACGACCCTGGTAAACCTTGGGAAGTCCAATATAAACACCTCTTATGATTCATAGAAAATACGAGAGTTACAGTGTATACATGTACATGTACATTCTCAACAAGGGATTTTCCCCATTCATTGCAAATTGATATTTTTGTTTATTTCAGTAGGCTTATGTACATGTACATGTATACACCTGTACATGTGGAAAGATGTATATAACAATGTACATGTATGTACATTGATAGGCTTATGGTTGCTTAGGCCAGGCCTTAAATTTCAATATTTTTAGGGCAAGGCCACTTTTCTGTAGGGAACATTCCTACATGTATATTACAGCACAAGTAGGAAGAACTGGAAAGGGCACACACATCTCCAAGGCCAATGAGAGGGGCATTGAGGCCAATCAAAAGGGCATCCATGGCCTGGGTGGCCCTGGATTATTTTAAGCCCTTTTAGGCCTATGTCTTTATTCATTTGAAGTGTCCATGGATCAGGAAAAAACTTGACAAACCACTCAGAATAGGGAAAAGGCACCCCCAATGTGAGAATCATGGTAATTTGGGGGATTTCCTAAATATATCGCTCAGTATAAACTGTTTCAACTTTCAGTAAAAAAATGTAACTGTATGTACTGTACGTGTTTGCAAATGCTACACTCAGACTCATATCTGTTGTTCAAATTTTTTTGTCGAACAG